GGATGAGAAGGAATGAGTCCTGTGACTTGGAGGCTGCATTCGCGTGCATTGCCTTCCCACTCACTTTTTATTACACGATTTTATTTGGATGGGGATCAGGTGAGCTGTTGCTGCGAGGGTGGCGTGGGCAAATTTTGCAGTATGAGAAATCTACCCCTACACGCGAATGCAGCCTCCAAGTCATTCATTCATTCTTCCTCCTCCTTCAGTCCTTTTTTCTTTCTTACATTAATTTATGTTAACAACCATCCCTTCATCACAGCACAACTCGCCGCATAATTCCCACACGTGAGAGCACAGTTGTGGCTTCCATCTGTCAATATTTCGCATGGATGTTGCACCTCTACGAGGCCGCAACGAAGGGAAGTGGCCTACCCGCCTGTGCTCGTGGCGTGGAGATCGTCCTCCCATTGCACGTCATGTGGGCTTGCGACCAACGGTTGGCAAATAGCACGTTGTGGGTGGAGCACCAAGTGGTCATCTCGTCGATGCAGACGGTGCGGAAGGGATAGTCCATGTGCACTGGCACTTGAGTACCCACTCTACGTTGTCGCCGATCTGCCTGTGTATCACGACAGCCACAATGTGGAATAGCTAGTTCACTGTCGCCTGTGGCCGACGTGGCAGTGTGACTGACGGAGGGATATCCACAAGCAGGAGTACCCACAACTACTTGCCAAAGACGCAAAATTTGCCAGTCGTGTGGTAGGCCAGGAAGTGAGGTGATTTCGTGGTCGTGTGGTTACTTCGTTGTTTTTGCTCTCACCACATTGTTACCGGGAGGTCATTTCACGATTGAGCAAAGTGGGTGTTTGTGTTTGGTGTTTGGTGTACGACCGCACCGCACTGATTGCGGAGGGGGAGGGGCGAGGTGCGACTGCCTGCATTTGCACTCAGTTGTGCTTCATTGTGTGGAGGAGTGGATGGGGAATCACAGCATCGCTTGCATGTCTGCTTGAGTTGGATTAGTGCGTCTAATCTGACTGTGGAGTGTGGAGTGGTCCAATTGCACCGCGTCGTAGCTTCTCCTCCACTTCTGTGCTTCCTCGAGTGCGTGCCTCCACTTTCACCAATCATTGCTGGGCGTTGTTGTTGGATCGACTGAGAAAGTGGTTCAAAGGCGGCAGAAGGGCTGGTCTGCAGTCGAGACTAAATGCGACTACCTTCACCAGTCTCCACAACCTGTGCATTGTGTTGCATACACTGGTGATTGAGTCGACTGATGACATGGAACTCTGTGTGCAGCCAGTGGGTTGGAGTGGAAGAATGCCGAATGCGGAATGCTGAGTGAGGGTAGGGCAAGTTCACACAGGAAGTAGGTCAGGTGTAGGCACATGGAAGAGAGCCGAGAGGCGGCTGCCTCTAATGAAGTGAGGTCAAGCACACGCGACGCTAATCGCATTGCCTGTGCTTCCGACGTATTTATCTGGAATTGCATGATTGATTGGTGGGAGGTCAGGCGGACTCCCTTTCTTTGCTTACTTGTCAAAGAGGTATGCACAAAATTTGGCACAGGCTTGTGTTAGTAGTTTGTGGGGGGAGCTAATGCTGTTTAATTTGACCATGAACCCTGTACCAAACTCAAAGTGGAGCAGTTTGCAGGATGTACTTTATTAAGATTGGACTTCTGAAGTGCAAACTCAACCACCCATCCATTTGAAATTAATCCGTTTATGTGCACATTTACCCATCTTGCCATCAATTCTTTCTCCCCGATCT